ACTCTGCTGACATCTAAACATACCTCGAGTCAGTCACTGCAGACGTGAGAATCACGCGCACCTGCTGTTTTTCTAGCGTGAGTTAATGTAACTTCATAAAGTTGGTAGTCTTGCGAGGGGCTTTCCCATTCAACTACTTGTGACTTTTTTTTCATCTATAGATTTATTGTTTACATTTAATCACTATACGTCTTTTTTAAAATAATTACTTATTTTATTTATTTATTTATTCATTCATTTATTTACTTTTGACTAGAGAGAGGGAAAGTGAGAAAGCAAGCTGGCAGCTCTGGGACTCGAACTGCAGTCGTCCAGTGGGAGTCCAGCACCTTAACTACCTCGCCACCAGTCCCACGGTACTCCCAGCATGAGTACAGTGCATATCACTCGAGGGAAGAATATATTTGCAAACTATGCCTCAGATAAGGAACTGATAATCAGCATATATAGGGAACTCAAGTAGCTTACCCCCAAAAAATAATGAACCAATTCAAAGATGGGTGAATGAGCTGAACAGACAGGTCTCTGAGGAAGACATACAAACAGCCAAAACGCATATGAAGAAAATGTTCAACGTCGCTTATAAGGGAGATAGACGCAAGTCAAAAACCACAAAGACTTTTCAATTTGGCAAGCCAGCCCCTCCCAACTCCACCTCGTCCCTTGCAGTCTTTGCTGGTAAGACTTATTTTTCGTATAAGCACTGAAGCCAGCCCCTTCCAACTCCACCTCATCCCTTACAGTCTTTGCTGGTAAGACTTATTTTTCATATAAGCATCGTCTCTGCTCTCTCTCACAAGGGCCTCTTGCATAAGGGACCAAACTGGGACCTGCAGATCTTGAGACTCTCCCGCTCCATGCAGCTGTACCCCAAGCAGGGCAGCCAGGCTTGTGAACAAGATCACCCAGTGAATTTATCTCGCTGTTTCCAAATGCGAGACAGCATATGTGGACTGGGTACACCATTATTCCTCTACGAGTTTGCATAGTTTCCAAATTTGTAATTTTTTTCTTCTTTTCTCTTTCTGTTTTAGTTTGTTTTTATCATGATTTCTAGTTTGATATAATCCTTGTACACCTTACTGGGGCGCCGTATGGTTTTCCAAAGTAGGTATGCCATGTGTAACACAGCGTCTTCCACCTTGAACTCTGCATTATGCTCGTACATTTGGAAACAGTTCTAGAAGTTTGTCTTTGTTTTGGAAGTACACCTTGAGCTGTCCGTGTCATTTGTTACTCCGTTGTGAGATACAGCTTCCTAGTTCATCCCCGTTGTCTATGCGCATTCTCGTATCTGTGAATGATTTTCTTTCGCCCCAGCCTCCCGTGCAGCCCCTGCTGTCCGCCTTTACTATTTCGGCTCCAGTGCCATCGAGTCCCTCGTTTCCACACACGGTGCAGACACACATTCTGTGTTAAGCCAGGACACAGAATATTCGTCTTTGTCAGGCTGGCTTACTTCACTTAGCTAGGTTTGCATGCATGCAATTTTCTGTTCCTTGTTCTTCTAGACGTAAGAGGCAGGAGAGTCGTTCCTTCACAAATAGGAAGCACCCCTGCGTGAAGCCTTATAGCCCGTCAACTCAAGGCCAGCATGCTCAATGCTTTAACCTGTGTGCAGTGGAAGAATGGTAGCGAGCCAGCCCCAGCCAGTGGGAAGGG